TTACTGCTGCTGGACTGCAAACTCAGTCTTGTCATACAGTGCGCGTGCCGGCAATTCGTTGTGGTGCTGACTTCTTTTAGGTTGTTCCTAGAACAAGGCTGAAGTCGAGAGAGTCTGATCGTGCACAAGATGCACCGAGCTTCTTTCTATGCTTGCCTAATCATTCTGACGCTTGATGATTTCAACTGCGCTGCAGAAGTGATTGATGTGGCTCTTGGACCTGACGGTTCTTCTTTCAGATTCCCGTGTCTAAAGGTTAGCAACATTCCCTGGGGGTCGGTATTCAGGCCGCAAGTCTTGTGTTCCGGCTGGTGGTCCAGGATGTAGAGGCTTCATGTCCCCGAAGCCCTAAGCCTCGCCCCGAAACCCTAAACCCTTAATCTCTTAAATCCCCCCCAAGACCCCAAAGCCCAAGACTTGGATCGCTCCAGGGCGCGAGGGCATCGACGAAAGCTTGGAAGGATTTATCTGGCGCCCTGGCATGGAGAAGTGTACCGAGGCGCTGGTTACTGTTGAAGGGTTGCCTTGTAAAAGGGCTCCTTTTGAACGGATTCCTTTTTCAGGGGGTTCCTGTTCAAGGGTTCGTTTTTTGATCCGGATTCTGTTAGGTTGGGCTGTATGGTTTAGATCATGTTTTATCAGGTTCCGTTTGAAGAGCTTAAAGAACGCTTGGAACAGGAGTACGAGGAGGGTACTACAGGGGCCACCAGAATCCTGCTTTGTAAGGCTGTCTTTTTCAGGGTTCCTTCACCATGGATAAGGTTAAGTTTTGTAGGTGTTTATGTTTGGGATGAAGGGTAAAGGCCTTCAGGGTCCAATCCAGAGGTTTGGGTTCAGGGTTTTAGGCTTCGGGGGTAGTGCTCCGTAGGGGGTAAACAATTAATACACAAGGTCACCTAATTTGTGCTAAGGTCGTTGGTTTGGCCTATGTTGGTCAGTTTTTGCCTTGAGCACCGGGGGCTATATATGGTCTTGTGGTATGGTTTCGTCCTTACACCCTAAACCCTAAACCCTAAACCCTTCGTCGATACGTGTCTACGGTTCAGGCAATGCCCGAAACCCTCAGACCTAAACCGGAGCCTCAGACAGGACGGAGGGTAGTTCGAGTACAGTAGTTCTCTGAAGTAGGGTCCCCCGCAGGGTCCTTTACATAAGCGTGCCGTGCTATTTTGAGGGTCATTTCGGACTTAATTTGGAAGTGTTCTTGAGGCTTCGCACATAGGGTTTTTGCGGATCTCGGGATTTCAACCGTACCTGCAGTTGGAAAAGGACCCGCAAACAATGCAGAACAATTTAAGGTTTGGTGTTTCGGGTTGGGGCTTTGTAGGATCTTACGGGTTTCCTTAGGGCTTCAGGTATACAGGGGTCGGAGGCCTGTGCTTGCTAGGGTTTTTGGGGTTTACGGGGTTCTGGTGTTCGGGGTTTTGGGTTTTAGGGAGTCTGGGAGTAGTACTGTGGACCTGGCGCAGAGTCACAGATCCGGCTACTGCAGGGGCTTAATTAAACATTTGCCTCAATACTTGTCCTTGCTAGGGTTCCTGAGCTGGGCATAATCATCGATAACTGGCGTATGTACCACCTCAAACCCTGTTCAAATCACTATGGCCCCTATATTATGCTCCATGAGGCGCGACTCCAGGATCCGTGGCCCTGTTGAGCGTTGATGCGGCCCCTCAGAAGGGGAACTCTTGTGACACAAATCCCTTACAAAGCATGAAGGGGTATCCTTGAACTCCAAAACACCTGGCGCAGGGCATCTGGATTTGGTCCGAGGTTTTTGTGTGCAAGGCCGATGGCGAGGCCGGAATGGCAAGGATGGTAAGTTGCGACCCTTTGAATATACGGTACGACCCCCAGCACACTAACGTAGACACATGTTCTTTTGCACCCCTTCATGAAATTGAGGGTTTTTAATTAGGATCCTTGATGAAATCCTTATTGAAGGAGAGAGGTTCAGTCATCGGGGGTGTACATCAGGTGGTATGAGCCCTAGGCTGAAAGCTGGGCTGATGTGGTCGGGCCTAACCTGCCCAAACCTCATTTTTGGGCATGTTCTGAGAATGAACTTAAAAGGAATTTATAGGGGCCCTACAAAAAAGTTGGCTCTGGTAGGTAAGGTAGGGTCTGGGGTAGCTTTGGGCAGGAACAGGCAGCCCGACCTGCACCAACCTGGAACCTTCATCAGTTTAATTTTCCTACCTAGACCCCAACATGTAGTTTTTCATGTGGTTACTCTAGTTTCTTTTTTGGGGATGCGAACCACAGAATATGTCACCCAACAAAAGCATACTATATTCTAGGGTCTAGGTGCATCCTAGGCCCTGAACCATGAGTCCCGGAAGCAAAGGGGTTTCCAAAAAATGAACCATGAGTCCCTTCGTTTGTCCCCTATAGGAAGTGAGAGCAACATAACATAGAGGTCGGACTGATAAGTGATAATTTCCCTTGTAGTCCCTGCACAAGTCCCCATACAGTCTGTGTAGTAGAGGAACCTACTATTACGGATCCCTACAGCCCCCTTCTCCAGGCACAAACATCGGCATGAACAAGCCCAGAGTTCAGGGTAGATTGACGCAACCATGCCTCCTACTATTCTGAATACGGCAGTAGTGGACAATAAACACCCTACACCCTAACCCTAAACCCTAAGCCGTGCCCGCAGGATGTGGCTGTCCTGCTCATGGACACCCAGGGGGCCTGGGATGCCAAGATGAGCAAGGATGGTGGCAGCGAAACGAGAAGAAACCAGGGTTGGCAGCGTTCTCTCGAGTTAGGGGGTTAGGTTTAGCGCTCCAGGCAAGAACCGCTCAGATAGGGTAGCTGCTGTCCTTAATGATCGGGCCTTGCTTTTGGATAGGTTACGATTTCCCAAGGATGTCTATGAAGTTCGATTGCTGATGCCACATGTACAGCTTCATCTGGGTTCGAGGCGTAGCGGAGGATTGGCTTGAGGACCAGGGAAGCCATAGTGAACTTTACAATCTTCTGGGCATGATTGGGGCGGGAGATCGAGAAGAGACCTTACTACGCGATCTTGTTTGATGCAAGGGCTGAGACCTGCAAAGGCTGAAGCAGAATCCTTCAGGCCCATGCTTCGATGTGCAGCCAGTGCCCACAGTCTTGAAACCCCCTACTTACCCTCTCCTGCATAGTTGTGAAATACTCGTCCTTGCAAGCAGCTTCCGCGAGCACATTCAGTGTGAAACTCCGAATGGCAAGTGCCACACGCCAGAACCGCTTAAGCCCACAATTCCCAAGCCCATGCATCAAGATCCCGAAGCATTTCCCCCAAGGTGCCAAGTACCTGACAATCAAAGACTCGCGACGCGATCCGAGCCTACCAAAAACCAGGACCCTCCACCCCGATAACTGAAAACTGGGCCCTTTGGACCCTCAGTGTGACAAAGTAAACCCTAAACACCGAGCCCTTATAAACCCGATTAACACTTACACTCTGGAGCCCCGAAGCTCTGCAACCTAAAACCCTTAAGCCGAAAACCCTAATCCTAATCCCGAAAACCGAAGCAGGAGCAGAGTGCCACGGTTTTTGGTCTCACCACTTTGCTGGCCTCACGCCTTGTCTACAACGAGCCTCAGATCTGTTTCATCTTTCGGGAGTTTTAAGGTTGCATGTTGATGTTTAGGGTTTCAGAGAGGGATTTGGGTTCAGAGGCAGGGTTTGGTTGTGCCGAGGAGGCTTTTGAGCTTAGATTTAGGATGTGGAATTCGTTGCGCAGGGTTCAGGGCGATATAGGAGTCGGAAGTCGGATCCCGTTTCTGATCTCAGGAGACGTATAGTATGATACACCCGCAACTTTAACTCAAATTACTCAAACCCTAAACCCTAAACCTTAATCCCTAAAAAGTCGCCTCGATTAAATCGGCACTCTCGGCAAAGGTCTCGAAACAGATCCAGCAGGACAAGATCGAGAACCTGCCGTCCTCTCAGAAGCATGCGGGCTCCATAGGGCTCCGTGGGTTCCTCCTTGTTAATCTAGAACCCTAAGGGTCCAAGTAGTCCTTATTTATGGTATTTGGTACCCATAAAGGCCCCAAAGTCCTTAAATAATGAGCACTTGGACCCTTAGGGGAAGCCTTTTCCTTGTCAGAATACGACTTATGTTATGCCCCGACAGCCGATTCTAATGATGAAAGCCCTTGTATGAATCCATTGATCTTGAGTAACGCGGGCTCCATTGTAGTTCCTACTTTAGGATTATCAAGTATATAATTTGGTTAGCCCAAAATGGACTACAATGTAGACTATAGGTAGGGTTAGGAGTCAAGTTGTGCTTTCTTCTTATAGTTATTCCTGCTACTGCCGCAAGTATTCTTGTCACTCTTCGTATTAGTATGATCATTAACAATACTCTTATTATCTCTCTTTTCTAGACTCATTAGCCTTAATATTCTGATGATTACCCATAGTACTGTTATTATGAATAGTATTATTATCACGCTTGTCTATTATTCTGGTGAATATCCATACAGTATTATTATCAGTCTTTTCTAGACCTTGAGAGTCGAAGGCCTGAGGCGCCTGAGGCTAAGCCACTCGGCTGCCGAACTCTTATTCCAGCCTGAAGTCCCCACCGAGGGTTTAGGGTTTATAAGTCCCCATCAGGGTATGCATGGTCTTGGGTGTGGAGCTTAGGGTTTCGGGCCCATCCCACCGACCACCTTCCATGGCAGCGGCTACACGCATTAATCAGTCCTGGGCCCGCACAGCTCACAACTGCCACCGGAACCGCAAATCAGAGCCCCGAGGACTATCAAGTTCTTCAAAGTTAAGCAGACCCGGCAGCCGCAGAGACAAGATAGCAAAGACCAGGAAAGGGAAAGGGTAGACTAGCATGATGCACTGCGGCCGGCAAGGATAGTCATCGGTGCGCAAAGAGTTTAGTCGATGCTAGCCCTGAGCAGCAAACGCTAATCCAGTTCATAACTCATATTTCATGACTCTTGGTCATGTTACCCAAAGAGTGCTCAAAAGCACAGATATGGAAGCTGCATGTTACACCAAGCCAAGACTCAACCAGACCCCTCCTTACAGGCTTTACTTCACGGACTTTGCACGTGCAGCCTTGAGAGCACAGCAGCTGTCGGCACAGCCTGATGGCAAAGATGCTTGGCACAAAGCATATAATCTAAATTCATCTAAACCCTGAAACCTAAAACCCTAAACCCAAAAACCCTAAACCCTAAAACCCTAAACCCTAAAGCCTAAAACCCTACAGCCCAGTAGGACTGGGCTCTCAGGTTTCATGGCCTCAGGCTCCGGAGTTCGGCACTTTCGGGTTCTCAGCATGTGCTCGGTTGAGACTTCACCGGATCACAGGAGGGCAGACTTTCATCCCGAAGCGCTTTTAGGAGTTGGAGGTGAGGGAACCAGGGAAAGGGAATGTAGGGATCGTGTGGAAAGGTGTCGGGTTCAGAGTCGAGTCTTACCGTTTTACCTCCCCGGGGTCGAGTCATTAGCCCTTATTTCAGTATCGACAAAGGCGCTAGGACTTCCGGAGAACCCGGTGGAGCGGGGGATCCCTTCAGCAAGGTGATATATTATTGTATCATGATAGATTGTATTACCTCATTATATGCTGTGTTTTGTTATTTGAATCATTACACTATGCTTATACCGTCTATTTTGCGATTATGATGTCATACCATGCTACATTATTTGCATTGCGATGTTGCAAAAGACATACTACCTGACGTGGTATTCTGATATCTTATATCTTACGTAGCATGTTGTACTCTGCGATGTTGTGTTATGTGTCATTGTGTTATAGTCCATTAAATGATGTTCGACTGTAAGTGGCGAGTATTCTGCTATGTTATTTTACACATTATGTTTAGCCTTGCAGTCGAGCCCTAAGTGTCCAAGTTCCCAAAGAAGAGCAGGGTTCGAGGCTCCAAGGATCATTCAGAGCATAGTAGTTGAAACGTCGAGGCCTAGCATATGACAGGTCCCCCGAAGCGACAAGACCCTAACCACATGGGGCGAGGGTTCTATCAGGGTGCTTACGAGGAGTATCTCAGGGATTCTGAAGAGCTTCCTGGGCTTTTATTGAGACGTTTCAAGCCCGAAGCCCCAATGCCTTTAAGCTCTACAGCCGATTAGCCCTAGGTCCTCAGACAAACAACCGTCAGACCACCAAGAAAAAAAAGAAAAAAAAAACACCCCCCCCCCAAAAAAAAAAGAAGCTGTTGCAACATCCTGTACAGTGTTCTTCGAAGCCCTTGCAGAACCCTACAATGCCTTTATGAGGACCAGCCTTTCCAAACCTTGGAGTTTCTAGTCCGAGATTGGCCGCACTTTCAGGAGCCGCTGGGTTGGTAGGTTGAGGGCTTTTTTTGATGATAATTATAACAATAATAACAATAATAATACTAATACTAATAGTAAAAATTTAATCATAGTTATTATAGGGCTTTGTCGGTTTTAAGGGGTCTTGATTATAGTGCTTTTAGAGGTTCAGGGTTCGGCGTTTCGGAGTTGGAGATAGAGGCTGAAGGCGTCAGGGTTCTCTCGCTTCTTGTCTGGTTCTGCGGAGAAAGAGTGAGGGGCAAGCTCTAAAGTCTTATATAGGCGCCTTAATAACTAGAATAGGGTTGTGGGGCCCATTATATATATATATATGTATATATATACTATATATATATATACACACTATATATTGATTATAAGGAACCCCCAAATAGTATTTGGAATTCTTGAGAGAGGCTGTCAGTGAACAGTAAGTTGCGAAGTCAATGTGCGCCTAAGCCCCCGAGCTTTCTGCGCAACCCAATCTCGCAAAACCGCCAGAACCTCGCGTCCCTACCACACACGCAATCCCTTGCTCCATAGTTTCTCGAATGCATCAACACGAAAGCTGTCGATCCTAAGACACTGGGTCGAGGGCGTAGGGCTTGAAGGGGTATGGCATTTATCGGTGCCCATGGCCTATGGCTTCCCAGTAAAGGGCAAAAGGAGATGGTCGATTAGGTCTCGGTCTCAATATCTGGATCAGTGATTCCGGACCCTAAAACCCTCAACCCTAAGCCCTGATAAAACCCTAAACCCGAAGCCATTGATCCTAAACCATAAACCCAGAACCTTAAGGCATGAAGCAAAGAACCCCCCTAAAAGGGTTAAAGCCTTATATATATATATATTTATATATTTATATTTATATTTATATTTATATTTATATTTATATTTATATTTATATATTTTTTGTATATCTCCACCGCCAGGCCTGACAGCGGGGATCTAAAGACCTCACCTGTCCTAATTAAGCCGAAAGTCCAGCCAGCACCTTAAACCCTGCTTTAGGGGATTTTGGGGTGGTTTGGGCCTGGTTTGGACTTTGTAGGCATCAAGGTCACCTTCAGCACCCAACTACCCTCGAATGTAGGCCCTAATACCTCTGACTGAGGAAATTGAGACCCCTTTTTCCAGAGACTCAGAGAGTCCCGGTAGAGTTCAGAGCTTTGCACCTGAGATGCAGGAGAACTGCAGCCTTAGCGATGCCAGATCCATGATGAAGAGTCATTTGGATCAGCCGCGTGTCTCTATGGTAGGGTTTGAGGCTTGGGGATGTGGGCGTAGGATTTCGGGCTTCTAAGCCGAGCGTTCCGTCCCTCGACCGCCAGGCCCCATCGACCCTAGGCGCCTGAGCTTGTGAACCCCTTAAGGAAGAACTCCGGACCTTAAACAGCATTTGTTGTTGAGTTGATCTCTTGAAAGAAGCGTAAAAGCAAGTCTGAAGGCTGGCAACCATGTCTCCCAAGCCCCTGGAAGCAAAAGGGTCCAGGCGTCTTAGGGTTTGGGGTTTTGGGAACACTTTCAAACCCGTTGACATCTTTCCGGTCAGCCATGAAGGCTTGAGAACCCTGAGTTGAGCGGACTCTAGAATAGAACCCAAGCAAGGAAGATCCTTCTTAATTGCAGCTCGCAAGAAGGAACCGTTACCCAAATTGCACGAAGTTTGAAGCCCTTCGTCCAGCTTCTTCGACCTTTTCAAGCCCCTTACACACCTGTAGGAATTTGCTGTAGCATACCCCTTAACACCTTAACCTAGCAAAAGCCTTAAGGCCCGCATGTTGGCTCAGTTTGTCGAAACCGTACATGCCAACATCTTCCGAATACTCCTGTCAAGGTCGCCTCATCCGCGTCCATCCCTACAAAGTCCGATAAAGGCAAATCAAAAGAACCTCTAAGCCCTAAACCCTTAACCTCTAGGCCTAGAGAGGGTGTAGCTCGCCTTGATTCTCCCCCCAGAAGAGAACTCCAACGAAATCCCTTCGGTGCGACTTGTCATCCGGGCGGGTGGGAGAACAAAAAACCTCTAAGCCCTGTAAGAAGCACAAGATTCATGATCCTCGAACCCTGAGCCAGGTATTTTGATCCTAAGAAGTCCGAGGCCTGTGTTTTTTTGCCGTGTCGGGCAAAAGGATCTTCTTGGGTGTATGGAGGTGTCGGGTTGAGGATTATTCGTTTCAGGGTTTTGGGGTGTCAGGGTGCTGAGCAGCTTGTCGGTCTTATAGGCTTTTTTTGGTGTTTGGGGCTCTTCTTAGGACTACAGGGCTTAACGCAAGCCCTAAACTCTGAAATCCTAAACCCGAAACCCCACAGCGCGGGGGTGCGTTTGTATACCACAAGGACGGGTTGTATGGTTTTGTGTGGCATTCAAGGTCTTTAGGTTGTATATAGGTTTTAGGGTTTGGGACGCAGCTGCTGTTGGGACCTGGCGCAGGCTTTGAAGGGCTCATGTTTTAAGGTTTAGGGTAGTGACGGTCGTCGGGGTTACAGCTAATTTCCGGAATGGACCTATAGGCAAAAGCACCACCCCAAACCCTATTCTAATGATTAAGCAACCCTCGGCCGCTGAATCCTAACATGAAACGGGTGTTGGGTGTAGGGCGTAGGGATCATTTCGGATTTTGGGATTGAGAGTTGTTTTTAGAGTTCAGGGTTTTCAGTGTTGACGTTTAATACAAACTACGCTCCGAGTTGGCTTACCTGTTGGGTTTTTTTTTCAACCCTTCCTTTCTGTTTCAGAGCTGGGCGCTCTATGGTATCTAACGAGGGGACTACACGCGACTGGTTTGGGTGTAAGCGCTTCGCACGTTCGGGTTTCATAGGTCATAGGAAAATCTGCGGATTAGGGTTCTGGGGTTGAAGTCGTGGAGTAGAAATAGAAGCTGAAGCCCCACCACTTCTGTCAGTCGGAAAAACCTATGGGACCGTGCGATGGACTTGAAAACTTATGGCCAAAGCCTGTGACCCTAAACGCACAAGCTGTCATCACTAGGGTTTAGGGGTTTTTGGGTTTCGGGTTTTGGATAAAATAGGGTTTAGGGCAGTTTAGGGTTCCCGGTATATGTGAGCCCCTGGTACAGGATACCAAGAGCGTGAAGGCCCTGGGAAGCTTGTCGGAGCCTCATTCGCTTGCGGCTTAGAGTCAGGGTTTAGGGTTTAGCTCGAGGCTCATGGTCAGTTATAAGTGGGGCTATAAGACTCCTAATATAAGGTTTACAACTACAACTATAGTTACCCTACTTACAACTGCCATCTCCAAGTAGGTGGTCTGTGCCCGCCGGCTGAGGGTTTGTCAGGGCTTATACTGAACAGTTGATAAGTATCCGGACACTTGGGATGATCTCAAGATGCTCTGAAACGTGCTGCAAAGAATGGTTGAATATTGTCCCAGATCCCTTAATAAAGGAATATATACTATAAGTTTAGGTATATTCCATAATTAAGAGATATTGGGAGGTCTTGGGGGGGGGAAAGCTACGTAGACCTGAGTAGTTAGAGGTTCCTATATTGATTCACCTGGGAGATTGGGTTCTGGTCCTATGATGTCCTCGGCATCCATATGGAACAAGCATGAGCCGAAGCGAGAGCTCGAAAGTCTGCCGGTCATGAGTAGTAAGGAAGAAGTACCTTACCTGTGGCGAAACGTGTTCTCAAGTACAGTTTTCTGGGTCATAGTCCTCATTGTTTGACTCATTGATAATGACCTTCATAGGTAGCTGCCCGCCAGCTTTCAATTATCGTTCAGGCCCTACTAGGCTGCAGCTGCCTCATCCTCATGCTAGTGTTGCCTCACACTGGTGCAGGTTCCAAGACATCGACGTATGGTGCCTTCCGCACCCATCCCTGAAAATCGAACGCCGGCTCCTTGTGACCCGCTGCTGTGTCACTGCTGATCTGTCAGCCTGTCGGCCATGATGCACGACTATACCTATGACCGTCATCGTTCAGACTTTGGCTTTGCACTAGCTTCAGTATTTCGGGAGCAGCCAGTCCTGAACCCGAAACCCTTCGGACCTGGTTGATCCAAGGTGACAGCTGGAACGGCGACCTCGTGGTGATCGAGAAAGAGTTCTGGCGATTTATCGATGGTGCCCTGCAGCCTTGGGAAGATTGGGGTCTGCAGGGTTTGGCCCTGGAGCCTAGAAAAACTGCAAGCTGTAAAGTCCCTATACCCGTCAACCTAATACTCGCTGTGTCCGGGCGAAATGTCAGATTATGACAATGACAATTAGTGTTCTTAACCATTATGATTCCTATGGTTGCTTTTGTTCTTGCTGTTCTTATCGCTATGACTATTTACTGTTGTTATTGTTATTTGTTGCTCTGGCCCCGCTTAAGCCCGAGAAAGCCTGGAAGCCCAATTAAAACCCTTGTAAACTTCATAAACCCCCACCCTAAACCCCCACCCTAAACCCTAAACCCTTAAACCCTAAACCCCTAAACCCTAAACCCTAAACCCTAAACCCCTAAACCCTAAACCCTAAACCCCTAAACCCCTAAACCCTAAAGACATAAACCCCCACTTCCTTAGCCCCCAGAACCTGGGGCTTCCTTAAAAAGGGTTTAGGCCACGATTTGGTCTAGGGTTTACGGTTTGAGGGTTGGGGCTTTAGGGTTTAAGGTTTTAAGGTGTAGGGTTTTAGGGTTTAGGCTTGCCCTAAGCCCTAAACCCCTAGGGTCTCGGCCGACTCACACATCGCCTCCATTGCCAGGTTACATGGACAGGATCTTCAGCCCGGAGCAGCTCCAGGCAAAGGAAAACCTGGGCTCCTTGGCCGCTAGATAGGAAGAGTCTTCTGTTCAAAACTTAAGGGTTCGCATCCGCGTGGCCCGACTGCACCGAAGCCCCAAACACTAGGTGTAGGGCTTCGGTTTAGTGGTCAGGTTGGAGGGCCCAGGGTTTAGGGTTTCGGACGAATGCCTTGGAGACCCAGACTGACTATTGGCGAAGGCTTGAAACGCTCATCCAAGGCAACTTCATCACCGTCGACTCGTGCAGCCGGCATGGTTTGGCCGAGAACTCGCATTGCTTCAGCAGTTTGATGCCCACAAACCAGTGGCTAGTTCTCTGTGTTGGGGTGTCCCTTTCAGGCCACCAGCACCCATAAGAAGGACCCGAAAAAGGGACACTGATTTAGAAACTACCCCCAGTGCGTAACCTGGCCCTAATGGTTTCCCCGTGAGCCACAAACCCTAATTTTTAGACACCAAGCCCTAAGCCCAAAACCGTCTTCCCGACTGGATCAATAAGTAAAATAACCATGATACTAGTCATGATAATAATCTTGTCAAGTCGAATTATAGGCTAGTACAGAACAATCTACCCAAAACGCTCAACCCTAAAGCTCTCTCGTCCCAATGATATCGCCTCGGCTTGCGTTTAGCCTTAGTAATTTGTTCTAGCGGTAAGTTGTTGGATCTGTATCTGGACAGCACAGCTCGCGAGCCAGCAGCATCCACTGCGAACCAAGAGACCTCAGTCAAGTCTGAGTTTAGGGATCATAGAATTTAGGGTTTAGGCCCTACATCCTGTATTGGAGGTTTGGCACGGTGCTTCGCGAGTTCATCGCAGCCTTCAGCGACGCAGCGCCTCAGGCAAAGACCTTCTCTGAGGCAATGGAGGCGCACAGGAGGGAAAAGCAGGGTTCTTTCGGGTTTTAGGATTTAGCACTTTGGGCTTAGGATGAGGGGGCTTTGGTAAGAGTGTCACAGGGGTTAGCATTGGGAGTGTGCACCGTGTTCGCGCTTTCGGGGCTGTACAGGTTGTGTTCTTACAGTCTTCCGCGTTTTTAGGCTGAAGGTTTAGGGCTCAGGCAAAACCTGGCAGAACTTGTTCACAGCTTTGGCAGAACTTGTTCACAGCTTTACAAGCCTTCTATAGTTTAGTTTCTTACGATCTTGAAAGCTTACACCCTAAATCCTAAACCCTATAATGGCTTGGGTTTTTAGGGTTTAGGGTGCCAGCATTTGTGCCAGACGTGAGAGTTCGGATTTTCAGGTTCTAGGTTTCTACTGTAAGGTGGGTGCATGTATGCCTTGGGATTTAAAAGTTTATGGGAGTCTGGCATGACGTCGCCACTCGGCATTCAAGATTGCTGATCTTGCAATCGGGGATTGCAGGAGCGGGTTGGCACAAAGTGCGGCTGCAGCACTTGCACAACTGGGGCGGTGCTCAGCACAATCGCAGCACCACAGCTTTTCAATGCGAGAAGCCTGATCCTGGAATCTAATTCGAGCCCCGTCAACTTTCCAACATCCTCGAATGCAGGACTATTATGAAGCTTGAATCTGAGGCCTTACTGCTTGGCGTTCTGTAGATATACCAGGTCCCTATCACAACCGAGCCCCAGACCCTAAACTTGAATCCTCATCTGGGAGATGGCTTGCATCCTCTGAGAGGCCTCCACCAGTCTTCTGGCAAGGGATGTGGCCCTGATCTCAGTGCACACGTCTAGCTTTTTGCTGATACACAGCATGCCGCGCGTGTCCATTACGGCGACAACTGTAGCGTTCATCTCACGCTGCTTGACAGCAGCATTCCCGAAACAGTTAGCGTTTTAAAGGTTATTCGATTGCTAGGTTGCCAGCGTAGCGGTGATGGTCATTGCTGCTTGCTGTTCGGGTTATGACGTTGGTGGTGAGTCTCAGTATGAACATCAGCATGATTCCACGATGGCGACACTCAGGTGGAAGATGATCAAACCTGCGACGACAACTACACACTACTCCTCTGATTCGCTACTGCTACCGCTGCTCCTCCTCCGAGGACGATGGATAGAGCCTTTGGTATATAGTATCTTCAATTATGGAGACCCTGTAGATCCCTTTGAGGAACCCTCGAAAGGACCCGAGTTTAGAGAACTGCCCACATGTAAATGGCACACCTTGAGGCTATGAAAAAGGTGAAGCAGATCCTGGCGGAGCTTTGGCCGTTTTCATTTGCAGGGCCCGAGGGCTCCCCTTACCTAAATTTGGGGTTTAGGTTTTGGGATTTAGGGTTTAGGGCTTAAAGGGTTTAGAAATAGCAGGTTACTCACCATACACTATATACCCCAGAAACCCACTTTTTAGATCAGCGGGGCCCTAGGGGTGTGAGGTGGTTTTGTGTTTCGGGGTTCAGGTTGTCGGATTTGGGCATCCAGGGATGTAGTGTGTAGGGTTGGGAGAGTAAAGGAATAGGAGTAAAGGAATAGATTACTTAAGATTATGCATTTTGCTAGCTTGCATGTCACAAGAACTGAGGAGTCCAAAATGCACTCCTGCGCAAACTTATCCAAATCACTCTAGAAAAGGCTTCAAGGCTTTATTTGGCGGCAGAAATTTAGTTGCGAGGCGGTGGGGCAGTTGGAAGTTGATTAGCTTCGTGGCAAACCTGGTAGGGTGCTGGAACACATGCTCTCCCTCGCATCCGAAACCTTATACTTGCCTAGCGCTGCCGTGGCTGAATCCGGGTGCCATGTCGCCGGCCTTGTGCGGCAACCCGGACGCCACTTGCTTTCCGTCTTGTCCATCACCTGCGAAGTCTCAGGGACAAGCCGCATCTTAACTTGCACACCGGCGAACCACTGTTGAAATCGCAGCTGCCGGTGGTGCTGCGCCTCAGATTGCTACGAGTCGTCGCACCATTTCGACGGTGCCTACTAACATGCTGCTGCTGCTGCTGCTGCTGCTGCTGCTGCTGCTGCTGCTCTGCTGCTGCTGCTGCTGCTACTACTACTACTACTACTACTACTACGATCACTACTACAATCATCACTACTACTATTACTACTACTACTACTACTACTACTATTACTACTACTACTACTACTACTACTCCTACTACTACTTCTACTATTANNCTACTACTACTACTACTACTCACTGGTACTGTTGCCTTCGAGGAGAAAGCTGGCAGCCTGCCGCAGGCGGTATCTGAGGAGGATTCCCCATGCTTTGCAGCGAGCGAGTTGTTTAGTGTTTCGGTTTAGGGTTTAGGGTTTAAGGTCGAGGGTTTAGGGTTTCGGAAATTCAGGTTCACAGGTTAGGGTTTAGGAATGTATGGTCAGGAGAGTACGGTTTACGGGGTTCCTTGTTTAGTTTGTGGGGGCTTAGGGTTCAACGTCCGCGTCGTTGGAGTTTGTTGGCAGAAACCGTGCACTAGCACTATGCCTCAGGGTTTCCAATAGACTTTGTGTGTTGATGTGCTACAAAACCCGGTTCTAATCAATCCAGCCCCTATAGCAGACAGGGCAATGTGTTGTGTTGCTGGGCAAGACATGGCTGATGTTCTAAAATCTAGCTTGTGATCAGACACTTTCAGGGCTTAACAGGGCTAACACTTGTTATTGTAGAAGGCTGAAAACTTACCTGCTCAGGGTCTTGTCTTTGGACTCTAATCTCGAGGGCGACTGCACATGGCGCCTGAAGGGACTTTACAGGTCTCTGCAATGAGGGACGATATTCCCTGGAGTTGGACACTGGGGTCCGCTCAAAAGCATTATTACAGCCCGAAGGCTAGAAGAACCGGAAGAAAAAGCAAAACACTGCCGAAACCTGAAGACTCCAAACATCCCCAACGTATACACCCTACTACACACCTACAATAAAACTACAGCCGAAACCCCCAACTGAAAGCAAGAAGCCTGAGGGCGGTAAACCTGATCTTGAGGGTTACTGATTAGGGTGATCACCTCAAAAGTTAAAGCCTCAACTAAGCCCTTGCATTCTTTCAGGGGCTTCGGCATGCTTCACTTTCTATGAACAATACCAACATTTGACGGCTTTTGGGAGGAAGTCTTCAAATTTGGGCACGCTGTTAGGGTTGCGGGCTTCAGGGTGCTTTGAGGCTTTCATCTTTGCAGGCGAGAGTGCAAGATCTGCCATTGGATAGCTGCAAGCCTCATTGCACAGCCACCATGTCCCTCGCAAGGCTCAAGGCGGCAGGGCTTCGATCGTGTGCTAGACCAGCTGTATGGACGGAATGAGGCTGCCTTGATCATGTTGATCTGAAAGTGTTGTCAGAGACGTAGTCACAGAGGTTCGAGAACATAGAGGTGGTCCAGGCATGCACTCACTGGATCCATAGGTAAGACGTTTGCGCAAACTCGTCCACCTAAACAGACTGTTTAAGGTTCGAGCTGTGCAGCGAGGGCTGTCATGACAGCTTGTGCGAGCCATGCAGCCCGATCATGCTCGCAGACCTATCTGGGTGTGTGAAAACGGGCGGATCATCTTCGAGACATTTCATCCGCAAGCCGCGCAAGTAGCCGACTTCCTTATCGCAGTCTCAGAGCCAGTGAGCAGGCCGCAGATCGTGCACGAGTACCAGATCACGGCATTGTCCTTAAATGCTGCCATTGCCAACGGGATTGATGTAGAGCAGATCATCAAGGTACTGCGGAAGCTGTCGAAGAATGTTGTAGATGAGAACTTCTTGGAGTTCATCCGGGAGAAGGGCAAATCCACAGGAAAGCTTCGACTTATCCTCAGAGATGGCAGGCACTTCTTGGAGTCGGAAGATGCACCGCTTCTACGGCATTTGTGCAGTAATGCTGATGTGGCCGCATGCCTTGTTGAGGAACTGGCACAAGAAAGCCACGTGGTGGAGGTGGACTCCATGAAAGTCGAAAAGTTGAAGCTGGCAGCTCATCAACTGTTTCTTGGCTGATTGTTGTGATAGATTCGCACTTGCTTGTCAACGGACAGAAAGAAGCAGAGAGAAAGAGATTCCTTTTCTTACAGAAGAGCCACACTGACATGATTAGATGTAGCAGACCGCCAACTGACCGCCCAAGTCGATACGGGCGCAGATCAAAACAGCAAGGCTGGACATAGAGCATACATACGTACATGCACGTGTGCGTACATACATACATACATACATACATACATACATACATGCATGCATGCATGCATGCATGCATGCATGCATGCATACATACACACATAAATCCATACATGCATACATGCATCTGACATACCGTACATGCATACAAACAGCAGGTCTGACAGACAGGCGCGACCGCTAAAATCGCAAGAGCACAGGCACATACACACCCGACCAAAGCACACATGTGCACACCCACACAATCATGCGAGTATGCGCGTGTACGTCCAGCATAAGTGCCTTGAGACACGCCAAACAAGCATGCGGAGATGCATGCAGGATTATGCCAGCATCTCACATACATGCACACGGAACGGTAGCTCTGACACATGCCTCTCTATTTTTCAATTGCATGGTGCTGCGGTGCTGCTCGCGTTTCCTCCACCGAGGACCTTGCCCTTGCTTCAAGAGTACGAGTTTCGACGGGACCGGGAAGACACCAACCCTCAACTGGCGGCAGTCCTCAGGCCAACGGTGTATCTCCGACCATATCAGCAGCGAGCACTCTCCAAAATGTTTCCGGGCTTCTGCAGTGTGCGTGTAAATAGCATGTACATCTCAAGGCTGCAGTTTGTCTTCTGTGCGTGAAGCAGGCCTTGGAACAGTGCTTTTGCAGGCCCCCTAGCTTAGCTGCTTGTGGTGCTTGAAAAACGGAAGTGGCCTCCAAAGCCTTCAGGCCATGAAACCCTAGGCTTCAGTGTTTAGGATGTTTGGATTTGAGTTCACTCTAAGCAGGTTTTCTGTGGACGATGTCGCCAAGAGCGGCATCGTGGTGCTTCCTTGCGGTGCTGGCAAGACACTCGTTGGCATTGCCGCTTGCTGCCGTGTGGGCCGGCGAGCATTGGTACTGACCACTACGGCCGTTGCCGTCGACCAGTGGCGGCGCCAGATCCAGTACCTGGGCTGGTCTGAATGTCTTCAACCTAAACCTGGGATCAATCTCCGTCCTATAAACGTGGATGCATTGAGCTATAAAGCTGGGTCGATTTATACTTAGGGCAAGCAGTCGGGAAGCTGAGGGATCTCCGACGACTAATGGGTTCATTCACAAGGCTTCAGATAGGCCAACTCCGGTCCTACAGGTTTAAACTCGAATATCTCAAAGGACCAGGGCCTCGACCTTGAGACTTGAACTGCCGAGGCTCTACACCAGCCTGCCTCCGGAAGATGTCTACACCCTCACAGCGGAGCAGAAGCGTCCGATCGAGGATGCTGACCGCCGTGCCTGCATTGTGATATCTACGCACCGCTGGCTTAGCTAAGATTTTTCGTTTTGTTGGGACTAGAGAGCTTCCCCGCATTCTGTACATGAGGCGTGTGGGGATACAGGCAGTTAGATAGACACGCATTTACCTGAACATATACACAAACAAACAGATTCGTCATCGCCGTCGTGGTGGTGGTGTTGGTGGTACTATACAGTAAAACATAGGAGAAGGAATAATCACCACAATGGGAATAGCAACGTAATCGCATGAGCATTACCTGCAGAGCACTGTTAATAACATAGGTTTAGTCAGTTTAGGCGACACATGAACACATGAACACACACACATATATATATAT